AATAGACGACTAGATCAGAAGGTGTGGCATATATACACAATGGAATATTATTCAGCAATCAAAAAAGATAAACTCATGCCATTTGCAGCAACATGGATGGAACTAGAAGGAATTATGCTCAGTGAAATAAGCCAGAAGGAAAAAGAAATATATTGGATGGTTTCACTTATAGCAGGAATATGGGGGAACCAAATAAGACATCAGTGTAAAAAAATAACAGTACAAAACACAACAAAGCAAAACAGACAATTATAAATCAGAGACATACTGCAGGGGAGGAGGAGGAAGAGGGGTCAGAAGGAGGGAGGGAGGAGCACAGGGGACTGAGGTGATAGTGCACGGGTGCACTGGTGAAGGAAACTCTATGGGGACGACACCTGAGGGGGTGGGGGAAGCAAATATTGTTTAAAAATGAACAATGATGTAAAAAATAAAAAAATTAATAATAAATTTTTAAAAATCCTATTGTTTAGGATTTTCTGGAGGCTGCATTGTGTAGTCATGATTGATTATATAAATCAGTAGCTATTATGATTAATCTCCATCACCTCTCTTCTTTCTCAAGGTCAGAGGGTGGGGTTGAAAATTCCATCTCTAATCATTAGCTCTAAACCAACTCAAAAGGTGATTTCTTTGTCATGCAGTCCCTATCTTGAAACTATTTCACAGATCTGTAAGAGTCACATCATTCATTTTTAAGTATAGGTATGGTTGAAAGGAGTTTATGTGAATAATGAAGATACTCTCACCCCTGTGCCTCAGGAAATTCCAGTAGTTTTAAGAGTTCTGTATCAGGTACTAGGAGTGAAGACTAAATATGTATTTTTCATTGCATCACAGTATCACTGATTTTGAACGATATTAGTTTGGCAAAATATGATGGTAGTTGTCTAGAAGACTAGGGCATGTGGCAATGTTGCATGGTCACTTGGAGTATTGTATGTGTGGAAATGTATTGCGTACCTTTTGATTCTGTTTTTCAAAAACAGGCACACAACATATTCCATACCTACTAGAATTGAACTCTCCAAGGTAACTGATGACCAGTAGTTGCATCATTAGTGACCTCTTTTAGTTTTTCACCTACCCAATTTCTGCATCATTTATCTTAAGAACAGCATAGAATTTTAATTCTGCCATTTTCAAGTTGTATAATCTCTCTTTAGTTGTAAAATTGGGTAAAAGTATTGTATATTTTAGGTGACTGTCATAGTGTAAATGGAAAACCTGACTTATACTATTAACCTGTAGGTCCTACACTTTCCTACTCAGTAACAACTTCTTTATGAAGTAACTGTTTCTAACATCAAGTAACAATTTATTCAGTCATATTTCAGTAATAATACACTTTTTTCTGTCCTCCTCTACTGGCTCCTCACCATCATTTGAACCTGCTCCTGTACGTGCGTCATTAAGAAAAATAACTGCTGTCACCTGCACTGTCTTTAGTTTTGTCTCTTTCTAACTCCCTTCCCATTTCTTTATGGCTATTTATTTTGCAGACTGTTGTTCCATTTGAGTTTGACTCATATTTCCTCATGACTTGATTGAGGTGATGCTCTTTTAGGAAATTAATAGAGGTTTAGCATATTAAATTGATACATTTCTCTGTTGATGTTAATTTTGATCACTTGCCTGAGGTGCTATCTATTGTATTCCCCCATTACAGTATGTTTTTCCCTTTGTCTTTTCTACATATCTTGTGGGAAGATACTTTTGTCTGTACAAATACAGTTTCTGATCATACTCTTTATCATCTCATTTACTAATTTACCATCCATTGTTAATTCTTACTTGCACTGGTTATTACTGTGGTGTTTGCCTTATGGTGATTTTCTGTATCTAGCATTCTTAATAGTTGAGTTTTTCTTTATACATTTATGCCGTGTGCATTTTAACTCTGCAGAAAAGCTGCAGGATTTATCAGGTATTCAAGAAGTCTTTTAAGATGGCATTACCTTGGAAGCACATGGACTGTGGTGGTAGACTATGGTGGTAGACTTGTGGTCAGTGCAGTATGGTGGTAATACCTGATGGGGTTATCCTAATGTTATCTCAATTTAAAAATTAATTTTAAAAGATGGCATTATCTCTTTATATCCATCACTGCTTTCTCAACTTTATTGTCCTAGCACCTACCTCCATTAGAGTAAATAAAAGGAATCCTTTGTGTATTTGACTTCTGCTTTTGGTCAAAAGCAAAAGTCTGGTCTCTCTATATACCTAATTCCAATTTCCTCTGAAAAGATTTAATGAATAAAACACTGAAGTATACCTGAGGTGAATAAAAGCTAGACTGGCAATGTCTGTTATTGTCAGATTTCGTCGTCTTTGCCCATAGTTGGAAAGCCACATGTATTTTCATCTCTATGAATTTTTTAAAAGTCAAATACATTATTTAGTCTGTAACAAAGATTGATAAAAATCTTAGCTTTTTTATTAATACTGCTACATATTGTGATAACTTAGTTTCTTTTTTGTAGAAGCTATGCCCTCTTGGAATAAATTGTTGTGAAAGAAGCTTAATTGGGACCTTAACTGAAACATGAATTTTTATTATACTGCTTAAGTTTTATTTTTTAATTTCTCAGAAAACATTCTATAGCATTCTCCTTTTTCACAGCTGATAAAAATGTGATTCTTATTTTTTGTTGTTTAGGAACTAATAATTTCTATCCATATATTTAAAAAAATAAAGCTATTACTGCTTTATTTTTATTATACTGCTTAAGTTTTATTTTTTAATTTCTCAGAAAACGTTCTATAGCATTCTCCTTTTTCACAACTGATAAAAATGTGATTCTTATTTTTTGTTGTTTAGGAACTAGTAATTTCTATCCATATATTTAAAAAAATAAAGCTATTACAACAAGATGATTATTTGGTAGAAAAATATAAAATTATACGTGATGATGACATATTTGATAATTTATATACATAAATTATTTTTTAAATGAACTGGTCATCTTGTGTCTAAAGTAATTTTCATGAAGGTTTAGTTCTTTATGATAATATGTCATATATACCTGAGATAAACTAAATTCTATAATATAGTGGCTTATGAAAAGGAGACTTGATTAAGAAATGTCTGTTTTCTCTTCCACATTTGAAAAACCAGTGCTTTGTTGTTTGAGACATTTCTTTGAGTATTTAGTCTTTTTAAAACTGGAATCGATCTCTCCTTTTAGCATTCACATAAATTTAGGTTACCATGGGAAAAATTAAATTTTAAAGGGGGAAGTATAAATATAGACTGTTTTTAGTAAAGCAGTATGGTATATATGTATATGTGTATAGGGAAATCATAGCTAGCTCATGGTTGCAAAAATACCACATATGAGGCAACTAATGTGAGGAAATGATGTTGGATAGGTAGAGAGATGCCATATTGTAATAGATGTACATGCCAGATTATGGAGGTTGACCTTCATAGGGAAAAGATCCTTTGGAGAGAGGGAGAAGGGATGAGTTCAAAAAGTATTGAAGTTAAATCATCAGGATATGGTAATAAATTAAATGTAGGAGGTGAGATAGAAATCAAGACTCCTGGCGTGTGTAAATGATCCTCTCAGTTTACACAGAACATATTAAGAGGAGGATCAGATTTTGGAGAAAGTATGATTGTACAAGGGAGCCTATGGTGTTTATGAAATCTGGTTGGAGACTTTCGTATGATGGGACTATATGGTTGAGGTTGGAGAATTGTTTGTGTAAATATCATAGTTGAAGCTATGTGATTGGAAAAGATTATTCAGGTCAAACCTTATAAGAAAGTTGTGGGTTTAAAGACTTAATGCTGGCATCACCAACACTAAATGGGCAAGTAGAAAAAAAAGAAACAGTTCTAAGATAATGCAGTGCCATGGAGACCAAAGGAGACTGTTAAGGAAAGAGCAATAACAAATTTAACATTAATCCTTGGCCTCTTGTTGAATGCACAAGACAAATGTTGAGGGCTTTTTTTGTTTGTTTTTACCATATTTTCACCAAAAAGTAGTGTCTTCTATTTTTTTAGGAGCTATCTTTTTTCATCCTTACTACTCTTTCTTTTTTTTTTTTTCCTTTGAGGTGCTGAGGAAGTCTTTACTTTCTCTGTTTTTTTTTTTTTTAAAAGATTTTTATTTATTTATACAAGCACTGGGTACAGTCAGAAGCGTGGGAGGGTGAGAGAATTCACCAGAGCTAGAGCAGGGAGCAGAATAGGCAGAAGAACCGAAGTACACTGCTGAGGGGAGCAGCGGGTGGCAGGAGAGGTCTGCCCGCCATGTGGGACCCTCGCCAGGCAGCCAGGGATCGAACCGGCGCTGTAGAGGCTGCGCACAGCTTTGCAACCCAGCGCTCAACCGCTGCGCCACCGGGGAGGCCCAGTTACTACTCTCTTTTTATTATAGTTTTCCTTCTCCTACATGTTGGGAGCCTCTTTATTTTCTATAAACTTAACTTGAAGGCTTATAGAACTGTGATTATAATTGGCCTGCTGTCAGCCAGTGTACAACCTCATTCAGTGTCATCATTGAACATTAAACTCAACCTAAATTCATTTTGGTGGTGGCTCTTGTTTAGAACCTTACCATTTCCATGTCTTCCCACCTAGCTTATTGGATTCTCAGAAGTTTATGGGATAAATAGGGTAGATTGTTATCTTTCTCTTTTTTAGCTAAGGAATCTATTTCCTTATTTAAATTATGTCACTGATTCAAAGATAGCTCTTAGTTTTGCATTTTGCTGGCCATATATCTAAAATGTTACAGCTGAAAGGAACTTCAGAGACCATCTCTTCTAATCTCTCTATATTGCAAATAGGGAAACAGGACTAGAAAGAGAAAATCACTTGTCTAAGATTGTATACAGAGGTAAAGCAAAACCAAGATCTGTAACCAGCTTCCTGATTACCTTTCCTTGTAATAGGTACCACAAGTTTAATTTGCATGGTAAGTAAAATTAAACCACACTCTTTTATCTCTGATGTCTCACACTGCACTTTTTTCTCTTGGAAATAGTGTGCAGTTCGTGCAGCCACAGAAGGCAGAACCCTTGTATTAGAAGGCTTGGAAAAGGCAGAGAGGAATGTTCTACCTGTTTTGAACAACCTGCTGGAAAACAGGGAGATGCAGCTTGAAGATGGACGTTTCCTGATGTCTGCTGAGCGTTATGACAAACTTCTCCAGGTAAGAAAAGATAAATCCAACACCTTTGCCATAGCTGTTGAGCTGTGGATAGTGCCATTTGTTATGTAAGATATGGTTTTATCAGAATGCTCACAGATGTTCAGGTGGCCAGATATGTGACAAATTACTGAAGTCATGAGTTAGTAGCTTTATAAGCTTTTCTGTTTGCAGACCATGTTAGAAGACCTGCCAAATTTTGCTTTTTTTTTTTCCTTATCCCTTTTAATTATTCTTCCCTTTCTCCCACCTTCCCTATCTTACTTTTTCCTTCTTCTTTCTTTCTTTTCCTTCTCTCAGTGACTCTTTACTAAATCCCTAATGACTTCCAGAGAGTGCTGGGCCTTGGGAATATAAAGCTGAATAAAGTCTAATTCTTGGCCCCAGGAAACCCAAAGTCCAGTAGATATTGGCAGAAGTGAATAAGGTATTTAAAAGATATCGGGTCCAGGCTACCAGCATCTGATCCTTGAGTTGCAAGAGCCACCTAATTGGACTCTCTGCTTCCATCTTGGCCTCACCACAACAGTCAGTGAACACTTGCTTTAAAACATGTTATTGGGGGCCTCCCCTGCTGGTGCAGGCGGTTAAGCGCAGCGCTGTGAAGCTGTTTGCAGCCTCTGCAGAACGAGTTCGATCCCGGCTGGCCGGCGAGATTCCCACATGGCACAGCAGACCTCTGCTACCTCTCCCGCTGCTGCCCACAGCAGTGTATTTCAGTCAGTCTGCCTGTTCTGTTCCCTGCTCTGTCTCTGGTGAGACCCTCACCCTCCTGCACATCTGGCCTGTACCCCAGTTCTTATATGCATGAATAAATAAATTTTTAAAAAATATATTAAAAAAACAAACATGTGATTAACCAGGTCATTCCACTGTTCTGATCCTCTGATAGCTTCTTGTTGTATTCAAAGTAATAGCCAGAGTCACTGCAGTGCAATACAGGGTCTTACGATCTTACCCTCTACTGACCCTTTGGCCTTATTTTCATCTACCCCATTCCTTTTTTTTTTTTTTTTTTAATAGAGGCATGTTTTTATTTATTTATTTGTTTGTTTGTTTGTTTTGTTTATACATGCACTGGGTACAGTCAGAAGCGCGGGAGGGTGAGAGAATTCACCAGAGCCAGAGTGGGGAGCAGAGCAGGCAGAAGGACCGAAGTACACTGCTGAGGGGAGCAGCGGGCGGCAGGAGAGGTCTGCCCGCCATGTGGGACCCTCCTCTGGTGGCCAGGGAGCAGCCGGGGATCGAACCGGCGCCGCAGAGGCCGCGGGCAGCTTCGCAACCGAGCGCTCAACCGCTGCGCCACCGGGGAGGCCCCCCATTCCTTTTTAATACACTTCAGTGTCTATTATTTTCTTTACTATACCTCAAATATACTATACCTCAAATATACAAGACAGGCATTCTCCTACCTTTCAGGCACCTTGCTATTCTGTAATGGTACTCCCCATATATATCTTCCTGGCTCAGTCCTGTGCTTTCAATTTTGCTCAAATGTCATATCATCAGTGAAGCCTGCCCTCACCATCCTATTTTAAATTGCAGTGTGCTCTTGCTCCATACTCCCTTACCCTGCTTTTTCTCCCCATAGACTTTTATAGCATCCTAATGATTTATCTAATAAGTAAGTAAACTAAAAACTTTTTGGTTCATTGCCTGCTTCCCTCTCTATATAATAATTTTCACTAGGGCATGAATTTTTGTTATCTCAACCACCTAGCACAATGCCTGACACATGGTAGGTGCTCAGTTATTTGTTGAATGGATGAGTGATATAAAATCTTTAAATGCTGTGATACAAGCTAGGTATAAAGAAGGCAACAACAGGAGAGTGTGAGGTTCTTGAAATTTTTGAAGAGATTAGTGTCATCATAAATGACAAGAAGGTAGCCTTTGTTTACTTTCCTCCAGATGCATCACCCTGCATCTGTCTGCTAACCCAGCCTCCAGGACTGATGAATCAGCCTATGCAGTTGAGGACTGAGAGTCTTTCTCACATCAGTTCTATAGAGATAGGCATATGCTACTCTTACTACCTTGCTCAAGAACAGGACTGTGTCTTATAATTATTACTCCTTCCCAGGATGCGATTACAAACTTAGAGCATACTAGCACTAAGTTATAGATGCTGGCACAACAGGGTCTGATTAAGCTGATGCTCCATGACGCCAGAACCATAAAAATCTCTTTCTGATTCTTGCTGTGTGACCTATTTCCTTGTAACCTATTTTGCAAACTTTTTAGTGCTGTATTTCTTTACTGCTTATGGGAGTTTCTAGATGATATTTTCATTGTGCAAAATGGTAGTTTTCTTCTGTTTCTTCATTCTGGGTCTCCCTGGTGGCACAGGGGTTTAATTCTCAGTGCTATCAAATTATTGCCAGCCACTGCAGCATGAGTTCTAGCTCCGACCCGGGGATTAATCCACATGGCACAGCAGACCTCTCCTGTCTAGCCCACTGTTCCCCTCAGCAGTGTATTTCAGAAGACTTGCCTTTTCTTCTCCCCATTCTGTCTCTGGTGAATCCTGTCACCGCTCGCACCTTTGGCCTACATCCCAGTTCTTGTATGCGTAATAAATAAAATAATAAAAAATTAATATTAAAATAAATTAAATAAATAAATTAAATAAATCTTTAAAAAATTGTTTCATCTAATGTAATTACAAGATGATAATGAGAATTTAATAAGGAAAGTTCATTTTTTCATATTGTTATACTAAATATACTGCAATGAAACCTATTTTTATTATGTGCTATTTTAAAATTCATTTAAAATGATATTTACAGGTCATATATAACACAAATACATATTATAATGTTTACAATATTTATATTTTAATAAATAATATGAAATAATAACTTATATTAGCTATTTTAAAAGTAGATATTATGCACAGCATTTTCTCTTTAGGTATTTTCAGAATTACTATATTTTCTTCTACATAGTTATTCACAACTTTTAGTAAATAATTTAGAAAAGAGTACTCAGAATATGGAATCTCTTTTTTAATTACACAGATTACCTTATAAAATTTTTTTGATAAAGTCTTTATTTCTATAATAGAATTCTGTTTGAAGCTACTGAACATACTTCTTTGGATAGGAATTTGGGCTCTGAGGTCACGAGGGCCTCAGCACAGAAGAAGTAATTGTTATTATTAAGAAGAATGTACATTATTTTTCCCCTGAAATAAATAGAAGTATAAGTATATAATTTTTACTGGTAAATGTAATTTCTTTGTTCATAGTCTTTCTCATGAGAACCTCACGAAATATAGGTTGGATCCCTTCACACAATACCATCACCTTCAGACAATTTCTAGGATAGAAGATTTCAACACCATTATCTAAGTCCTTATTTCTAAACAGATACGATATACTAAATATTTATATTTCACAATGTTAATGATTTCGTAAAAGTGATATTATGGAAATAGATTGAATAAACATTATATTCTGATTGTCACTTTTGAATAAGTGGAAGATAGAAGATTGGGCTTTTGATTTCTCGGCACTAGATCCAGACTCTTATTTTCTAGTGCATGTGACATAATGTCATAGTGTCGTTCTTATACTAATACGTAGGAGTTGTGATTTTGGTTGTGCTTGAAATGATTGTTCATTATGTGTTTAAGTTACTTCATGCAGTCAGTCGACAGACATCTTTCCTGAGACATACTAGAGGTGATAACACCTCTCAGGTGCTTGATCCAGGATGAAACGGTCATGTTCACAAAGCAGTGCACAAATGTGTAATGAATAGAAACATACAGAGGATGCAGTGGAGGGGTGCAAAGGAATGCTAATGAAAGGAGGGGACTAGATAGGGACCTGTTTTAATGATGTTGTGTTGAGATTTGATACTACTGGTGTTTATGCTGTGAAAAGTGAAAGTGTGTTCCAAGCAAGTGGGGCAGTGTTGGAGAGCTGCAGCTGTGAGATGGAACCCGGAGCATAGACTCATGGAAGTTGGGCTCTGGGGACGAGTGTGCACTGGTGACTAAGAGTATTTGAATGAGACCTGACTCTGTCCTGTTAAGAGTTTCTCCACTGTCATATGGGCTAAGCCCTCTGAAGATCTGCTGAAAACAGAGGGTCTGTCTCTCAGTATGTACATTCATATAAACTTTGCAAGCACTGTGTGTCCTACAGCTGAGGAACGTGAAGAGTCATTGATAGGATCATGCAGAGAAGGAAGGCAAGCCATTGAACAGGTGCCTGCCATGAACGAGTTCTTTCACATGCATTATTAGATTCAACTTTTTTTTTTTAAAAGATTTATTTATTTATGCATACAAGAGCTGGGGTACAGGCCCGAGGTGTTGTGAGGGGTGAGAGGATTCACCAGAGACAGAGTGGGGAACAGAGCAGGCAGAATGACTGAAATACACTGCTGAGGGGAGCAGTGGGCGAGACAGGAGAGGTCTGCTGCACCATGTGGGTTGCTCCCTGGCCGGCTGGGGATCAAACTCATGCTGCAGAGAGGCTGCAGATTGCTTCATAGTGCGGTGCTTAACCCCTTGCGCCACCAGGGAGGCCCTAGATTTAACTTTCATAACAGCCATAATAATGTCAGTGATGGTATTCCCACTTTACAGATAGGAAGGTTGAGGTTCAGAAAGGGTAGTAACATGGTTTTGGTTGCTTATACTTAGCTAGAATGTGCACTAAGCATTAGAGCCAGAATTTGTGACTCCAAAACCTATATTTTTTCCAGTCTCTCAACTTCACCATATACTACTTTTGGGATCACGAGCAAGTTATGTAACTCCTCTGTACATCAGTTTGCTCATCTATAACAAAGAATTACAGGTCTATTTGTATTCAGTGAAAATGAAGTCAGAAAGATTCATGAAAAGTGTTTACCATGTAAATTTTTAATACATATTAATAGAATGAATATGCCTACCTAGAAATATATCCATAATACATCATCTATTTAAGGTCCATGGGCAATCTCTGCTCTGCCAGTGGTTTGCTCCTCTGGGACTACCTTAATTTGTCCTCTGGTCTGAACCAGTCTTTTTTTCCTTTCTTTTCTGACTCTGTTCCTCTTTGATACTGACAGGGGCTTTGTTCTACTTGCTAAATCTGTTGCAATATGTGAAGTTTATAATATCTGACCCAGATCTCCTTTGTTCCTTGATGTCTTCGCCGCATCCCCTTTCAAACACCATTCACACTGTGTGTCTTCCCTACATCCTGATTTCACTTTGCTGATTCTGATTTCATTATGCTCCCTCCCTTGAAAATCTGGCTTCGAGAGTGTTCTCAAATACAGTTTACCCAGCATTCAGTTCTAAATCCTTATTCTGGAAGCTCTTGCAGTTGTAAACTACATCACTTATGCTATACAATTTGATCTCTTGCTCTTTTAGGATCATACCAAAACAGAGTTGGATGCCTGGAAGATTGTTCGAGTCAGTGAAAATTTCCGAGTAATTGCCTTGGGCTTACCAGTACCTAAGTACTCTGGGAATCCCTTAGACCCCCCACTTCGTTCTCGATTTCAAGCCAGAGATATTTATTATCTACCCTTCAAGGTAAGTATGAAAAAGAATATTTTTTTATTTATAATAAATAGAATTAGTATAAAAATGTTACTATGTTAGTAATTAACAGAGAGGAAAAATGATACAGGGTGAAGAAAACTTTGGAAACTAGGAAGAAAACTTATTGTGGCTTTTTGTTGTTGTTTTTAGAAAATCACATGTATCTAGAAATTTTTTTTCTTTTTACTATCATTCTCTGCTTAACCAAGAAGTTGAATTGTATCTATAAAACATTTGTAATTAATCCATCACATTGTTTATTAATTGGTTTGGTATGTTATTTTAGGACCAACTTAAACTATTATATTCAGTTGGACCCAATGTTTCTGCTGAAAAGTAAGTATTTCAGCTACACATGTACATTTATGTAAATATCCAGACATTTAACATTAAATTTGTTTTGCCTGTTCATTGATTGATTCATTCATTCCTTAACTACTGTTCTTTAAAGAATTCTTCAGTGACTGTGGTAAGTGCTATTGACAAAGTTATAAAGACACGATCTTTGATGGTAAAAACTCAACATCTAGTAGAGCTTCAAGGTATGTGAATATCTTAGTTTAACAAGTATAGTGAGGGCCATCATTTTATTGGGGTTTCTTGTGGTTGAGACTTTATAAGGTATTCCCAAAAGCCTCAGTATTTGAGGTGGGTCCTAGAAGAATGAGTATGGCTTTGCCAGATAGAGAATGGAATTAAGGAATTCTAGAACTTTTTTTAAAGTATGAGATATGAGAATATGTGCTTTATTCTTGAGGCTGTCAAAAGTGCCTGGTAACTAAATCTAGGTTTGGATTGAGAAAGGTGGGAGGTGAGGTTAGTAGGGTACAGCTGGGCAGATTGTAAAAAACCACATATAATAGAGTTAGGAAATATATGTGTGTATCTAATAACCTTTGAGTTTTATTTTATTTTTTTAATTTACCTTTGAGTTGAAAATGGATGTGTAATATGAAGCTGCTGTTGCTTAAGAATTTAATGGTAGATGTTGTCTTTTTTGATGAATTAAATTGACCCAGCTTTTTTTATATTTAGCAGTTATATACATTTAATATATTTTAACTATTAGAATTAAATTTAATAACACTAATTTCCTCCCCTAGAATTTCTCAGCTCCTGTCTTTTGCTACCACTCTCTGTTCCCAAGAATCTTCTACTCTTGGCCTACCAGATTTTCCTTTGGATACTTTACCAGCTGCAGTTCAAATCCTGGTATGTATAAAGTAAATTAATGACTGGTATACACAAATGTGGCAAAAAATTTTTAAGTTAATCCTTGGGGATTAGTCACTTCAGTTTGCCTTATCATGTTTTTCTATAAACATTTCAAGGCCTGAGATTAATTTGTTATGCAATGCAGTAAACCAAAGAGACGAGTGACGTGTTCTGAGCTCTTAAAGAGCTTATAGCCTTGGAGGGGAGAAGGTAGACATGCCACTCAGGTAAAAATTAGAGAGGAGGAGGACTTCAGCCAGATCATGAAGACTTGTCCCAACATGAGACAGGGTTGCTGGGACTTTCACACTCTAGTGCCGTCAGTTACTAGGTAATAGCCATCCCAGGGGACACAAATTCACAGGCACTAGCTGCTCTCCCAATCAGTGAGCAAAACTGGCCCCAGGAGCTCAATGGTAGTCTTCTTTAAAAGTTATGCATCCTTGGATAGTTGGAAGGAAAATCTGGGAGGCACAGAAAGGATAAAAACAGATCTCCGGGGATTTGGTGGAGCACAGATATTGTCTATTACAGTTTAACAAAGGTCATGTTGGTAGTATCTGGAGAGAAGAAAAGGCCCTCCAGGCAGAGGGAATGGCACTTACAATGGTGTGAATCACAAAAAAGGACCAGGTATGTTTGGAGAATGACAAGCTGTATCACTAGAGCAAGCCTAGGTGGTGAAGAGAGAGATTAGAACATTATTGTGAAGTGTTTTATATGGCGAGTGAAGTTGTTTGGATTATATGATGTGGAAAAAATGGCCTATCAGGTATTATAAAGTATCTGGTAAGCAGATTTGTGTTTGAGGACGATATCTCCTTTGGCAGCAAGGAGGGATGGGGAGAGCCTGGGTGCACAGGGAACAAGTGGGAGACTTACAACATCAGTGAGGGTGACTGCAAAGAAGAGTATAATCTGAGGTATTGGGGATACCATCTTGACGAGAGACTTGCTTATAACATTTGTTACTTTTTATTTTGTTTCCTGTGAGTCAGTTTTCCTCATATTTTTCATATTGTTCTGTACATCCAGAATAGCAATTCTCTTTGTGTTTATTAGATCTCCTACATTTTGTTTTTGCTTAGAACTTTTTACTTTGACATTTCTCAAATCTAAAAAAACAAATTCCAAACATATACACGATGGAATATTACTCAGCAATCAAAAAGATAAACTCATGCAATTTGCAGCAACATAGATGGAGCTGGAAGGGATTATGCTCAGTGAAATAAGCCAGAAAGAAAAAGAAAAATACCGGACGGTCTCACTCATAGCAGGAATTTAGAAAACCTAAATAAGGGACCAGGAAAAAGACTAATTATAATAAAGTAAAAATCAAAATCAACAAGCAACTATAAACCAGAGACACTCTACGGCGGGGAGGGGAGAGCAGGGAGGGGATCAAAGGGTGCTGGGAATTGTATGGGGACTATAACCAAGATGAAATGCATACACGGTGCAAAAATGAAAAATGATGTAAAAAATATATAAAATAAAAAAAATTTTTAAAAAATGAACATCCATATTACTTCCGTGAGAATCACCAGTTAACATGTTGCCACATTTGCTTGCTATCTTTTTTTTTTCAGAATCATTTGAAAATACATCACAATAAATATTCTTAAATGCTTCAGTTTACAACTTCTGAAAATTAAGACATTCTTCTCTATAACCAGAATATCATTATCACACTTCAGTATATTAACACTAATTTTATATTCTAATAGGTAGCCCATATTGAAATTTTCCTGTTAATAGACATTTTAAAGTCAGGCAAACAGAATTGGGAAGACAGTTTGATTTTGAGGAAAGGATTTGAGCATAATGAGTACTTTCCTAGTAAAAACAAAGCTGGGTGAATGTGGATTCCTAACTCAGATTAGGAATAAAAAAGGAGACATGAGTAGGATAGAGCAGTGTGTTCAGACATGTAGTTTCAGTCGTCCTAAGTGGGAGTCTTTGGGATATTCATAGTCACCTCTAATGGGCAACTGAGAGTTGAAGTCAAGGGCTTAAGAATGAGGTCAAGACTAGAGATAGAGACTTGGGAGCCATTACCCATATATGGCAGTTGAAAGATGGAAGTGGGTGAGCTTGCCACAAGGAAGGATGCAGAATGGAGAAGAGGAAGTAGTATTTGCTTTTGTATACTTCTGGAAAATATGAGAAACCTATTGGTTATTGTTTATAATGTAATTTCAATGTTACATGTACATTTCAGATAGATTTTTCTGTGACTGTTTTAAATGTTCCTCATTCCTATATATTTTTGCTCCTAACTAGGATTATTTCCCGATGATGTCTTTCAAACATGCAATCCACTGGCTTTACCCATACACTCTCTTACTAGGACATGAAGGGAAGATGGCTGTGGAAGATGTTTTAAAAGTAAGTTCACTTTCTTTACTTGCCTATCTTCCCTTCTCTACTTTTCCCTTCCCATCTCTCCCTAACGCCTTTCTCTTACTTTTCTGTTTCCATCTTTCTTCCTTGCCCTTGCCTTCTCTTGTTTTCCAGGCATGGAGACATTGACATGCCATCAGTGGGGAAGCAAGTAGAGAGGTGACTGGTAGGGAGATTGGTTACATTGAGCAAATGAATAAATCAACTAAGCAAATGAATTAATGTTTTGAGGATAATAAGAGCTTTGTTTTTTTTGTTGTTTTTTTTTACTGTTGGAGAATGAGTTTATAAACACAAAAATAGGAAGGAAATAACCCTGAGGTATTAGATTGGAATTGGAGAAACTGGTATAAACTCATTTTCAATATATAATATACATTTCTATATATATGGTAATATATAGATAGTAATAAATATAAATATAGTGTGTGTATACATACATATATCTTCCAGCTCTGTTCCTTGAGAAGACCTAAAAGCTATGACAGTCTAGTGGCAATGATCATACCAAGTACTGAGACCTTGGTTTCCAAATACCATACTTCTCTGAAAGAAATCAGGACTCCTTGCAAGAAGATTGTTTTTGTTGTTGTTGTTTTGTTTGTTTGGTTGGTTGGTTGGTTTTTATTTATTTATTTTTAAACAATACTTGCTTCCCCCCACCCCCTCAGGTTTAGTCCCCATAGAGTTTCCTTCCCCAAGGCACCTGTGCACCATCACCACAGTCCCCTGTGCTTCTCTCTCCCTCCCTCTGATCCCTCTCCCTCCTCCTCCTCTGTAGTATGTCTCTGATTTATAACTGTTTTTGCTTTGTTGTGTTTTGTACTGTTATTTTTTTTTTTACACTGATGTCTTATTTGGTTCCCCTATATTCCTGCTATAAGTAAAACCATCCGATGTTTTTCTTTCTCCTTCTGGCTCATTTCACTGAGCATAATTCCCTCCAGCTCCATCCACATTGCTGCGAATGGCATGAGTTTATCTTTTTTGATTGCTGAATAATAATAATAATATGCCACACCTTCTTGATCCAGTCATCTATTTTTGGGCATCTGGGTTGTTTCCAGGTTTTACCTATTGTAAATAGTGCTGCAGTAAACATAGGGGTACAGGTGGTCTTTTGAATCAATGTTTTTGTGTCCTTTGGGTAGGTCCCTAGTAGTGGAATTGCTGGGTCATATGGTAGCTCCATTTTTAGTAGACTGAGGAACCTCCATACAGCTTTCCATAGTGAGTGGACCAGTTTGCACTCCCACCAGCAATGTAGGAGAGTTCCTTTTTCACCACATCCTCGCCAACATTTGTTCTTGCTTGTTTTTTTGATATATGCCATTCTTACTGGTATAAGGTGGTATCTCAGTGTGGTTTTGATTTGCATTTCCCTGATGATAAGGGATGTTGAACATTTTTTCATATGCCTATTAGCTATTTGCATTTCTTCTCTGGAGAAATGTCTTTTAAGTTCTTCTGCCCATTTCTTGACTGGATTGTATGCTTTATTCTTTCTTTTTTTTAAAACAATATTTGCTTGCAAGAAGATTGTTTTTAGGCTTGGGATGGGGGTGAAAGTACAGGATGAGGCTGTGCCATCTTATGGGACCAGAAAGCTAGAGAATGTTTATCAAATGATGTTGATATGTGAAAATGAGTGAGTAGCCACCTTCAAGTGGCTCCTACTGACCAAAGTTTGTATTGATTTGAGCATCAAAATCATGATAGTAAGCGTTATAATCTCTTGAATAGAATAGGAACCGTGGCCAACATAGCGGTGTAGGGGTTAAGTCTCAGCCCTATCACCCCTGAGGCCTCAGTTTGATCCCCTGCCAGCGAACTAACCCACATATGGCACAGCAGACCTCTCCTGTCTTGCCTGCTGCTTCCCTCAGCAGTGTATTTCAGTAGCTCTGCCTGTTCTGCTCCCCACTGTGTCTGTGGTGAATTCTCTCACTACCTGCACCTCTGGCCTACACCCCAGTTCTTCTATGTAAAAGTAAATATATATAATCTTAAAAACAATAATTGAAAAAAAAGAATAGGAATCCATGAGTCCATACTGATATAAATGAATAAGTAAAATGCCTAAGGGAGAAAGACAAGCTCTTTAGTGTAGAATGCCTCCCAGTAAAAACAGAAGGAATTACGTAGATAGAAAAATGAAAATCACTATTTGGTAGCCATCAAAGTGGTGGCTAATATAAGCAGGAGTCATCAAAGGATAAAGGGTGGGTGGAGGGTCTACAAGGGACAGGATATTGTTGTAATCTAAGAATATTTCCCCTCAAAAAGTTGACTACAAAACAGGAAAATGGTATTTGCACAGTAAATACCAATTTGACCAGGTGGGACAAATAAACATTGTGTGCCTCCCAATGTTGCACTGAGAAGAGTTCATTTCTGGGGAATTATGGTGTGAGTTGGACCATGAAGAAGTATTATGTGGACTTAAGTTGAACAAAGAGGCCTGCTCTGTATGTGAGGGAGTTAGAGTGGAAAGTAGGGGAGAGGAGGAAAGGAAAGAGAGAAGATGGAAGAGTATTAAGTGAACAATGAAGACCATTTGGAAGAAGGGCTCAACGAATCAGGAAACTACTACTTTCTACAAAACTACAGTGTAGTTCACTTTAAGATTTTTTCTGGGAGCTGATAAAAAGAGAACCAGAACTCATCTTCTGAGTTAAGTTGGCATTGGTTATTGAAATAGAACACCTGGTGTTTATGAGAAAAGGCTATGATTTCAGATGAACTCCCTGGTGTCTATCAGCTCAATCCCCAGTGCTTTGGGAGCAAGGATACATAGGGAGAAAGAACATGTCACTGAAGTTCTGATAAAATGAAGCAATGTAACTTTTTCATGGCACAACTGAGAGAAGATACTCATTATCTAGATAAGTCCTTTATGAACCAAGCTGTGTTTTTATAAGAAACCCACTTTGGTGTGTTTTGGGCCACTTAATTTCAGAACTAGATATACAAATTATATGAAGTTATAGAATACCTTTAAAGAGTGAGTTTTACAAGGAAAGTAGCTACTGTTGCTTTATTTGATTTAGCATGCATTTTGACGTTTATTGTTAAGGGAGCATAGAAAATGGATTGTGGGCCCATACGACAAACAAATTATTTCAGATTTGATGTAGGTTTTTTTTTTAAAGATTTATTTATTTTTATACAAGAAGTGGGGTACAGATCAGAGGTGCAGGAGGGTGAGAGGATTCACCAGAGATAGAGCGGGTTGCAGAACAGGCAGATCGATCAACATACACTGCTGAGGGGAGCAGCGGACGAGACAGGAGAGGTCTGCAGCGCTCTGTGGGTATCTCTCCCTGTCCAGCCGGGAATAGAACCCATGCTGCAAAGGCTGTGGACAGCTTCGCAGCGTTGCACTCAGCCTGCTGCACCACCAGGGAGGCCCTGATATGTAGAGTTCTTACAAAAGAAAAAAGAGAATGATACTACTTAGGAGAAGAAAACATAGTTGTCTTTTCTTGACTTAATTGTATGATTACCTGGTTAAGGAATGGTACTTCTGATTTTTCCAACTCCTCAATGGATAGTTAAGTGGGAGGCCTAAATCTATTTGTACATATTGTAGAACTTACTTTTTGTAAGATCATTACACACTGATGCATGCAACCAGATTAGAGTGCTAACTCTCTCCCCTTAAAAGTATACCTGTTTTGATTCATGACTCTTTGTGATCTGTTGTGGGAACAGTCAATGTGGACTATTGGTTATTCTAAATTCTTACACTATTCTCTCAAGCTAATATTTACATATAAACATAATTGCTTATATATTTTCAAATAATTTTGAACTAAGAGAGGTTAAAAATTAAGGAAGCATTGTTGAATTTGGAAAAAATGTTGAAAAGGAAAAAAACATTGTGTTGGCTAACCAAGAAAGTACATATATACATACAACTTCTCCCTGATAAAGGATAATTTTCTCCTGATCTACATTATCATAGAAATTAATGTGTATTTGCATTTGACTTAGATCCATTTGCATTTTAATATAATCACTTAAACTTCTTTTAAAGAAAAAATATTACTGAAAACACAGTCCACTAAAATTCAGTGCTTTTTTTTTTCCTCCCCCAAACAAGCTATAGAAACGGCTGGAATGGCTTTCATTCCCCAGATAATTTTCATGCTCTAAAAACATGTTTTTATATTGATAGCTACAAAATTACTTCTAGTTTTCAGTTAAGGATATCTTAGAGAAAATACTCTCATTCTGAATATTCTACTTTGAAAATGGTATACTTTATTATAGCATAATACAAGTATACCCAGAACTTTTAGTACCGTGTTTTGGCTCTTCAGTCCTTCTTAGGATTCCATCAGAACAGTGATTAAATTAGTAAGTTCTGATAGTGGTTTAGAAAGGATGTGCTGCCACTTATCTATTGATAACGTTTTATGAACTGCAGTCTTTACTGAGAAACTTGGAAGGATCTTGCATGTTTTCATTCCCATTCAACAAACACTAATTGGTCACTCATTATTTGGCAAATAATATGCACACAGAATTCTGGTCATACAGAAATGGATACCATCTGATTTCTGCTCTTAAGGAATTTATGGTCTGGTTGGAGCATCAGAGACAAGCAAGTAACTTTTAATATAACGATTTTATATTAGCATAGCATGATGCATAACTATGGTCAAAGCAATGGACAGTGAAAAAGAGATTGAATGACTATGAGAAATGTTTGAGATGAGATTATAGACCTTAATAACTAATGAAATGTAGGGTAGGTTGAAGGACTGTGAGAGAAAGTGAAAAGTCCACAACATCCATGATTCCTGGCTTATATGATTGAGTGGATAGAGCTACCCATAAGAAATTAGAGCATATTTGGGGTGGGGTGTTTTGTTTTGATTGTTAGGTTACTTAGTGGATTTGCCTAGCAGACTTGAAAATGTGGATATGGAGCTATTTTGATATTAAAAATAAATGCTTGGGAGCCATTCATATAAGGG